AGCACTTAACGTGTCGGTGTTCAGCGACCTGTTGTTTATTCGTCTAGTGGCATGGTCTGCCAGTCTTTTTTTGGTGAGAGGAGGCTTCAACACTCGCCTCTGGCTGTACTGAGGCTTCAGGTGCTGTAATTCTGGGATGGGATGGATGATCGGTGCATAGCCTTGCTCTGAACGGCAACACGCACACATGCTGTACCAATGGCAATATTGATAAATTTCGTCGCTCATCCATGTAATTGCAGCGCACCGGCATGTTTGCAGGGAATGGTGCGGGTGATGCCAGGACCTGCAAGAAGCAAGTCCGATTCTTCAAATCTACGCGGCAGTTTTATTGACCTGCCTCGACACATATCTTCCGATGAATGTTTAATGCGCTCAAGCCTACATGCTGAATGTTATACTCAGCACCAACTCGCTTCCGGGCAATATGTATCAGACCATCTGTCTGACCCAATAGCCTCTTTCATCATGCGTGCCAGATTATTGTGGCTTCCAGTTATGGTCAACGGCAAAGGTAAGATTCGCAACAATCGTGCCTTTGCTTATCCAGCTGTTGGAAGGAGCTCAGCAACGTTTGAAGTAACATGGCCATACCTTAACAACAAAGCCTAACATAAACTGAATAATTCCTTAAACTAACATTAAGGGCCTAACTTAAAGCAACAAATATCTGCTATACTTAACAGGGCAAAACCCTAGCAGAAGTAACTTAACCATAACAAAAAATTAACTTAACAGAGAAACTGTAGGATAACTCTCCTTAACAACTTAGTAGCATGCTGTACAAAATGAACGTCGGGACAAGCTATTTCTTAACGCAGGAATGCGCGTTTTGCCATCTGCTGGCCGGGGAGTATTCCATTAATGTGACATAGCCCTGTGATCGATCGCTGCAATTCTTTCATGTCATTATCCCACTTCAGATATTGTGAACTTATAAGCCGCAGATTGTAACAGCTCTGCCCAACGTAGTCGCGCATATTGCCTGTGTGGCCCAAAATCCTTCATCTTTTTTTTGAAATCGCGACGTAGATGCAAGAACACAACTCTTGGAAATGGAATGCATCTGGAAAGAATTCCTTCGACTCTGCCTGATACCTTGTCGGGCGTCCTGAACATCATTACCAGTCGATGTGGAGGTTGTAAGGATTTTCCCTATCATCAGTAACCGTCATATCCTTTGTAAGGAACCATTTATTCCCGTTAACTCTCATTCTCTTGTCGGCGATCGCAATAAGCGTAGGGGAATATCCTGGTTGCCGTCCATACCAGTAGCGCTACAGTAGTACTGCCTCTGTAAACGATCTTTAATAAATGTTCCATACCAAAAACAATAGAGGCCTACACCCCAGCAATGAACCCTTCAATAACAGGCATTATAACTAATGAACCAGTCGCTGAACCTCCGCGTCATCAGAGCATCAATAACAACCGACTCCCCTGATTAGTTTGGCATGCACCATGGATTCATACTCTGATGAATATAACAACAAAGCAGTACATTTAGGCGAAGATTCATAACGATACAAATGATTTCAGACTTCACGACCAAGCACGTATACTTAACGACGAACCATACTTTAAGCCAACTAATAACGGTATAGTTAGGGACACCCAAACGTACTTAAGCGTCGCGAACCGCCAAGCCTTTAGACAACTACTACGTAAGTAAGGTTAGGCAACGCAAAGGTAAGAGTGATTTCAGAAGAATAAAAAGATAAGGACAATCTCAGTGAATCGTAAGGCTGCAGTCATCGTCACCGAACAGGTCCTGGTTGACTTCTCCCTTGCTCCAGCACGCTTTACTGGTAGTTTAATCTTGATGCCAAAATTAGAGAGCATGTCGTTCTTGATATCGACCGCACGAAGATCTGCCTAACCTTCAAAACAGCTTGTATTTGGCTAGCAATGAACTTCCTTGATGCCTTGAGTTGCCAGCATTTGCTCCATGTTGACCGCAGGTGTGGGCTAGACTCGAAATTCTTTATGGACATGATAGACGAATTTCTGAGCGGCGGAAGAAACAAAACATCCAAGGGCAACATGTGTGTGTTTGAATGGCAATAGACTCTTATGCGTCTTGTTCATTGTGGTAAAAATCATACTCGAACCGTTTAGCAATTGAATAGTATTGAAGTGCTAATCTAACTTCTACGCAGCACTATCAAATTTCTGACAAACTTCACGTATGGAGGTGTGCCACTCAGTTGGGATTTTGTTGGTGATTAAGCATGTCTTCAGCGCAGCATGATCGAGTCGCCGGTGGGTTTGTCATTAGGAATACGCTCATCATTACAGGTTTGGGTGAACGGGGTATCTGCGCACCGCGAATTTTCTTTCGTATTGTCCTGAAGTATAAATCAAATACATAGCCTTAGGCAACGAACTGATAACCTTAACAACGAACTCATAAACGTAACAACCTACACATATCCTTAACAACTAACCCTTATACTTAAGGGCAGACTCGTGACCTTAACAACAAACGCATATACTTAACATCAACACCATAAATTAGCAACCAACTAGTATACGTAACAGCCAACAAATAACTTTAACAACCAGTGCTTAACATAACCTTGACAGCCAACACATTACCAAAGCAACCAATGCATGAGGTTAACAATAATGGCAAAACCTATCAGTGAACTCAAAAGGAAATCTGGAGTGTAATTCCTACGCAGTTTCCGGCGTAGTCTGCGTGTTCTGCGAAGTTGAGGATTCCGCAGCGGAGGTGGCATACAAATTCGCGTCTGTAAATCCATTACGCCGACAATACTCGAACATCAAATTTAAGTCGTCGTCATTGTCAATTGAAATGCTGAATTTCTTTTCCCTTTCGCATATGAACTTCAGTGAAAGAGATTGCATTGGTATTTTCAGCCTTCCGCCACTCGATATTCAAGCTGATTATTTCTGTATTCTTTGATAACGACGAATACACCGTCACCACCTTTGTTGCTTTTTGCCTTCGTTACTACGCATAGAAGAGATCCATCCGCCATTATTACAGGGAGTGGTTGAAGAATCGAAGAGGGTTTTATTTGAGGATAATTAAGTGGAAGGAACAACTTAGCTGAAGGGGGATATAGCTGGTGATAATATCTGATGATAATTTTGGAGGGAAATGGGAATTTCCCCCCCAAAAAGTCATTCATATCACCATTTAATGCCTACAGTCGAAACGATGGGTTTCCGTCGTGAGAGGGCGACGAACACATGCTGCGAAGGGTATTTTGGGCTTTCGAGCGGTGTTTAAACGGAAGGTGGCCTGGGGATTCGTTTTTGGGGCTGGAAGAAAATCGGGGGCGGTTTGGGGTAAAAGGCACGACGTTGAAAAGGTCTTGGGGGGGCAGAGCACGTTCTGTGTTGTTTTGGGGGCTGGAAGCAATTTTCCCATTTTTTTTTGGTCTGGCGCGTTGAAAACTTAAGCGGGAGACTGAAAATTAAAACAGTCGCGTTGAAAACTAACTAAATGGCCCGCCCCGCAGCTAGCCCTAAATTTTATTCTCCCCCAAATTATTTCGATCTCTCTCCGTTAGATCTCTGTAATTCGCTCCCTCCCTCACTCTCTCTCGCCAAAACTAGCCAGTGGCGCCGCCCTCCTCCTCCCGCAATCTGAATGGGCGGTTCCAAAACTGAAAGATCACTCGCTTCGCAAATCGCGATTCCAGAATCAATTGCTTTTGCGGTCGCGCGCTTCTCCTTCAAAACCTCGCCGATCGGCGACCATTAGAAGCTCAAAATCCCCTTCATCTCCTCTGGCTATCGTCGAAACCCCACCTCTTCTCCATCTCCAACACCGTCTCCTTCAGTTTATTGGCGAGGGGCAGATTTCATCGCCGGCGTCTAAATCTAATCATTTATCCACAAGGTCGGCTCGAAACCCTAATTTTTTTTAATTTTTTGGCAAAAGCGTTGATTTTCAGGAAAAGGCAAAAACTTTGGTTCATTAGCTTGAGATCCTCGTAATTTAATATCTTTATGAACATCGACACATTTTCTTGGTATAATTCCACTGCTTGCGAAAGATCTTGTTGAGATGATAATATGCACCACTTTGTTAATTTTATTTGTTGACAGGGGTCTCTAAATTGAATTAGAAGAATATCATATTCTAAAACTTGACCTTGTTTTTATGCAAAATAGAGAAGATAAATTATTGCGTTTTGCCCGATTCATACCCTTTTGACAAATATCCGGGTTAAATCCATTGATATATTATTCAGTTCAAGCTCTCTCGCTGCCTCCCTCCCTGTCTCGTCGCGAAAACCAGGGCCGTCCTCACTCCCTCTCTCGTCGCCAAAACCATCGCCGCCCTCCTCCTCGCGGCGTTGTCGTCATCGGAGCTCTCTCGCCACCTCCACCTCTCTCCTAAAAACCCTGATTCGAGCTCCTCTGATTCGAGCTCCTCCTCCTCCTTCAGTAGTAGACCGACCGCTCGATTGGACATTATTGTGGCCGCTGCTCAAAGATCTGTCGCTCCCTCCTCCTCTTCGGTGAAAACCCTAACCCTAATCCCCCTTTCCATCAAAAACCTAATCACTACTTAATTTGTCCTTCTCCTCCTCTTGCAGCTGTTTTTCGGCTGGCTTTGCTCGCCACTCCTCCGGCGCTGCTGCCTTTTATCCTCCTCTACATTGAAAGGTATGTGATTTTTTTGGACATTGTACTTTCAACATATAAATTTGAAAATTTTCATGGAGACTTGCCTCTCGCAAATGGTATCTGCAGAAAGGCCTGTTTCTTTACCGATTCTGCACTACTCTTTAACATTACAGTATCATGATATTATGTTCTATATTCACTAGGAAATAGCCAAGAGGGAATAGAAGGGCAACTGGATGAAGGTTTTCTTGCAGAGGTCAATGCCCAACTACGTCAAGTAAGTTTGTCTGCACACGTGAAAGTTTCTTATTTTATCGGTCTCTCATTTATATGTATCCTTGAATTACCCTTGTAAAAATTGGTAACCTATTTACAATTGTGAATCAGTAGGTAGAGTTATATGTAAAGTGTAAACAATCTTCTAGAATAAAGACGATGAATAGCTACAGATTTGATGTGTGGAGGATCTTATTATCCTTTTTGAAGATGCTTTGGTAAAACTAAGTCTTTTTTCATACTGAAAAAAGTGTTTTCCATGTCCACATAAGTTGAGATTTATTTCATAGTTTACAGTACATGTGATGTTATTCTACCAAGCATAAGACAAGTCTTCATATTCATTCCCAGTTGCATGCCATGTTTGATCATACAATCTTTTTAGCAATTATTATGTTTTAATCTTACCAGTATAAATAGCATGACTAAGTATAATTTTTTTAGTGAGGCTATTGTATTGCATGTTACTTCTTGGCCCTTGTTGCATACCATGTTTGATCTTACAATCTAATTAGCAATTATTATGTTTTAATATTACCAGTATAGATAGCATAACTAAATATGTTTTTTTATTTTAATGAGGCTATTGTACAACCTAGGTTTGAACTCGGTTCGAAACTACTAACCATCACCCAGGTAGGCAAAATTTTTTTTCTTGAGAAAATCATCAAGCTTGTGCATTAGGAACAACCAAGTAGATAAATTATGTAACAATCATATGTTGACTAACTGCAATTTATTATATCCTGTTCTAATTAGTGATTCTGTTCAAGAACTATTAAAGAACAAAAATGTCAGCTACCTATAAAATAAGAATATCTTCATTGGTCTTTTTTTCTTTTCTCTTCATTTTGACTATTGTAAGATAATAGCTTCATAATATAAGATTGTTTCTACCAATACTTATCACACCCATTGATTTACTATGTCTTTGTCATGCTTCTAATTTGAGGTTACTTCCTTTTTTCCTATGTTCTCCATTAATAATGTTTGTATTCCTTTTCTTCTAACTTATTGCAGTCCAAAGAAGATGGAGATAAGTCGGCCGGTCTTGAGGCCATGCTGCAAAAAGTTTTACAAATTTATGCTTTCAAAGTACTGCAAAAACGTAGCTATGCATACAAAGGTATGCAAATCTGTAAGAGGTTGAGCTTTTGATCTGGATGATTATCTTCTTGCACTCAATCTAAATATAACAACTATGAGCTAATTGCAAACATTTAAACATGGAAAACATAAAGACTTGAAATGTATGAAGAATCGAGGGAGAAGTTAACAGTTTGGTTATAGCGCATAGGCTATCATATTGATATATAATATGCTGAACATTCTTCGATGCATAAATGAAAAAACATTTAGCTCTAGATCTTCATAGTGCTATTATTTTGATGAAATTTTAAACCTGGAGTGACTTATTTGTTGACATTATTTGTTTTTCTTTCGTACATTTTCCAGTTAGAAGAGAAAATTATGCTCACCTTACACACTGACATACACACACATGCATGTACACTACATGTCCTTTGTTAATTTATTTTCCCTGGAAAGGAAACCTTCTTCAAACCAGAACGAAACTATAGGATTCCTAAAATCAGTTTTCCTAGCATACAATTGTGTTATCCCCTCCGTCAAAAGGGGGGGGGGGGGGGGGGAAGAAACATGAGTGGTATTCATTTTTTTTCTTTTTTCTCTTGTGGATCTTGCTTCACGGTTTGTTTCTGCAGACATTTATCTAGATTTTGACTATGTTTTTGTTGTTCGGATCTTTTGTCTTCTTTAGATGTTCTACATGGCCTGCAAGAAGTATTACAATGAATTCTCTAACATCATGTTCATCCATTTGGTTTGTTTCACTTGATAAATCCTTCTATTCCTTGTCAATCAGTAGAGAAGTAATTTCTTCTTTATTTCATTAATGCAGTGCTAAACTATTTTCTATTACAGGGGACAAAATTTTAGTGGCAGAACAATTTTGTGAAACCATAATCGCAGGTAACTTGAATTTGTCATAATCTGGTCCTTCCACAGGAGAGAGCATCTTTTATAAAGTTCTCCACTTAGACTGCTTGCACCTTTCAAATTAGTTTACTGTCTTTTTTTCGGTCCATAGCATTCCATCTGTTATATTTATATAATCAGGGAGCCATATGATTGCCTAAGGTAGACTAAATAAATAATTTTTTTTCCTGCTCGCTGATTCAGTTTGATACATAATTTGCATCTCGGTTCTCTAGTGGTTACAGATGCTTGGATATTGTACTGCTCAACTTTTCATATTTAGTATAATTCATTATGTGTAATCTTGGTTCCCATGTGTATCTGTGTGTGCAGCCGAATCGCCATAGAGAAGTAGTGTAGTGATTAGGAGCAAATGCGAATTGAGGGGTTTGCATTGGACGGAGCTAACCCAATTAAATAAGTAGTGTAGTGATTAGGAGCAAATGCGAATTGAGGGGTTTGCATTGGACGGAGCTAACCCAATTAAATCCAAGCTCTCTAAAATCCGTCTCTGTTGGAATTGAGGGGTTTGCATTGGACGGAGCTAACCCAATTAAATCCAAGCTCTCTAAAATCCGTCTCTGTTGAAGAATCCCAAGTCATATGTTCTAGTGAGATTGCTTACTATACCAATATTCACTTGCATGCATCTACTGCAAACATTTTCATATGTTCTAGTGAGATTGCTTACTATACCAATATTCACACAATAAATTAATGCTCAAGCCTTATATATCAATATAGGGAAATGAGACCAGCTACCTGGAGAGTACCAGCTTCTGACCCTGAAGGTGAATCGCTTTCACCCTGACCATAAAGAAAAGCTATGGATCAGAAAGAGCAACCTAACCATTCAAATAAAGGTATTGACTCTCTTTGCTATCATTAAAACTAGTTTTTCATGCAGAAATTAATAAAGAACAAATTATTGTCTTCTTATTTTCATTAATAACAAATTTAAACAAAATTATTAAAGAAATTAATATAAGCTTGTGATTTCTAATTATTGGTGGTGTTGTTTTCTGTTTTGTGTCCATATAATGTTCATGGCTCTAGGATCTCATTATTGGTGTTGTTAATTTCTGTTTTTTGCAGCAGTACAAGTACTCAATTGCTGAAGATGATGAGTCTTCCAAGTCATATGTAATGCAGCAAATTTAGTTTCTGTTGTTCTGTGGACTATGCTTAATTTCTTATACTCCATGTTGGACTATCCAAAGACTAGTATTTATTTTTTGGCACATTTGTGTTGACTCTTCTTGTATGCTACAACTTGGTTATGTATCAGTTTGAATCTTTAAATAAAATATTTGCTTTTATGGTTGTCACAATTGGAAGTTATTTCTAGTTCAACCTCAAAGGTTTATAGGCACAACTAAAATGCTATAAGAAGTGGAAACAATTGCTGAAATGCTATTAAAAGAAGAAAGACAACATTCACTAAAACGCCATTGTAGTAACTCAAATGCTATCAAATGTAAGATAATAGCAACGTTGAAATGCTATGAATGAAAACTAACTAATAGCGTTTTTCAACCGCTATGAAAGATATTTGTCATAGCAATATAGAAACGCCATTGAATACTCTTTTATAGCTACATAAAAACGCTATGGTTGGAAACTAACTAATATCGTTTTTATGTAGATATAAAAGATATTTGTCATAGCAATATAGAAACGCTATTGAATACTCTTTTATAGCTACATGAAAACGCTATGGTTGGAAACGTTTTGATAGCGTTTGGGGAAACGCTATGTAAAGCCACAGACCTACTATAGCGGGTTCTGACACAGCGTTGATTAAAACGCTATGAAATAAGACCATAGCGTTTTTCGACCGCTATGGTAGATTTCAGGTGTTGTAGTGATTTTAATATAATGTTGTCCTCATTTTTCACTTTCATGGTTCACTTCTACACTTTTTTAGAGAATGTTGAACTTATAAAAAATCTGATACGGACTATTTTCTGAATCTCAGTTTCGCTATCAATTTCAATAGGGCTGTTTGGTTGGTTTCCTAAAAACCAAGAAAATGAAACCGGTACAAGGAAATCAATAAAATAATATTTTTATCCATTTCCATCCCTAAAACTCACCCACAACATCCAATAAAATATTATTTTTATCCTCCAACTCATCTCATTTCATCTCCTTTCTTACCTTTAAAAATAAACCAAACACAAGAAATGTGTCACATCATCCAACTCATCACATCTCATTTTATCTTATTTTTAAAAATCACACACATCATCAAATAATATTATGACAAGTCATCTCATCTCATTAAACATTCCTTTCTATCCATTTTCTAAAAAAAAACAATAAATCAATTTTCTTAAGTACGTGTCACATCATCCAATAATATACATCCAACTCATCTCATCTATTTTCTTATTTTTAAAAACGAACCAAACACAAACAACCTCAAAACATCATTCAATAATATACATCCAATTCATTTCCTTATTTTTTTTAACCAACCAAACAACCTCAAAATAAGTTTTTTAAAAAATCACTCACATCATCCAATAATAAGGTGACAACTCATCTCATATCATCTCCTATTCTATAATTTCCTTCTTTTTTAAGCCAACCAAACAACTTCAAAATAATTATAATAGGAAATAGGTTTCCTATTTCTTGATTTCCTAGTTTTTTTTGCCAAACGAACAGCCCCTAAAACAAACAGGTGAGAAATCAAAAAAATAAGTGAATTTTGTATGTACAATTTTTACTTACAACTAAACAAACACCCCCGTAATCACCGGAGTAAACACGACTGTTGGATTCGCCAGAGACAGACAAGTGGCTCGTACTTCTATGTGTCGTGTGGGGCCGCTGCGACCGTGTCCGTACATGTGTTCTGTTGCGGAATTACGGTGTGTTAAACATGTACGGCGTTTTTCTGTTATACTTCCCACAAATCCTCGATATTTGCAATTTATTCTTTATATATATATTTTTACAGATTTATTCTTTATATTGGTATTCGTAAAATTATGCCTATTCTCGCAAATCAAGTTTTTCTACCTCGCTGGACTATTTTAGCTTTCCAACAAAAATATTACAAATCTATATATTGTTAAGTTTTAGAGGAGTAGGAAAACTCAATTGAAGAGATTCAAGAGAACTGGGATCAATTTGTACATACCAACATTTTGAAGGGAAAATTACAAACATAGAAGATTTGAAGGGTATACATGAGAAAACTCAAGGTTTATAATTCCATATTTCCATAAAAATATTAAATATATAGAAGATTTGAAGGGTATATATGAGAAAACAAATGTAGAAGATTCTCAGAAAACCCAAGGTTTATAATTCCATATAAATTGACAGAAACAGACTCCTATACTCTTTTCTTTTCTTTAATTAGAGGATTTACAATTAGGGGTTGTCTGGTTGATTTCGTAGAATCAAAGAAAAATAAATAGGATAATGATATCACTGAAACTTGTCTTCCACCTATTCCCTCAAAAAAAATCATGAAATGAGTTTCCTTAAAATTATGTCACATCCTCCAATAAGATGATGACAACTCATCTCATCTCTTCTGTTTTCTTACTTTTAGGATGTGAACCAAACAAAAGAAAATAGCTTGTTATAGGAAATAAGTTTTCCATAATAGATTTTTTTAACCAACCAAACAGCCCTTTAAAAAAATATGGATTTCGTGGGCAGCTACCCAAAGCTTCGGGAACTTTAGTGAATTTTACTTCAGAAATAAGAATGTCGCAATAAGAGGCTACAACTTGCTTATACTCAAGATAAATGAGAGAAAATTATTTTGAGATTGTTTTTTGATGTCAAACAGAGAGTATTAAATATGTCAATTAGAAAGGAATAAGATCATAATTATTAGAAAAAGGAGGGCTAAAATTCGCCCAAGTGAACTAGATTTGAAACTATATAAATGATATAATAATAACTAAATTATTGAAGAATATATCTCTCAAATGAACAGTGTTCAGCTAAACGTTTGGATTTTTTTTTAAAGTTTTTTTTGAGCCTGAATTTGTTTTTAAGTTGGTGGTAGTTAATGTTAAAAGCAGGGCGGGCTGAGCAAACTCTACTCAGACAAAAGTAAATCAATCAGACCATTTGATTTTCAACAGTTTAATTTGATTTTACAGCATTTTAGTTCGATTCGATATTAAATTTATTTAACTTCACGCTTTTTTATCTGACCAAAATAGTCTAGTTGTCATAGTGTGAGTCTGCAGTGCAATAACATAAGTGTTATTTCTTTGTCAAAGTAACTAATTTTTTTTTAACTAGACCTCTTAGACCCAATATTGAAGGAATTGAAAAAAAAATCTAACCCGACCATAATCGATTCATCTTCTATTTAGTTTAACTAAATTCGAGAATCTATTTAGTTTAACTAAATTGGAGACGTAATGACTGCACTATAAACCTCAAACTATTTTTGTTATTAAAAAACAAAAACATGGCGTTATAGAAACTCAAATTCACAAGGAAGCATCTTGCAATTGCACATAATTTCCTTCTACTTTCCTACTTTCCTACTTTCCTACTTTCAACACAAGGTCCGGAAGGGCAAGGGTTCGATTGATTGTTTCGAATCCCCAACACGTTTCGATATTAAATTTATTTAACTTAACGTTTTTTTTATCTGACAAAAATAGTCTAGTTGTCATAGTGCGAGTTTGCAGTGCAATAACATAAGTGTTATTTCTTTGTCAAAGTAACTAATTTTTTTTAACTAGACCTCTTAGACCCAATATTGAAGGAATTGAACAAAAAAATCTAATCCGACCATATAATCGATTCATCTTCTATTTAGTTTAACTAAATTTGAGAATCTATTTAGTTTAACTAAGTTCGAGACGTAATGACTGCACTATAAACCTCAAACTATTTTTGTTATTAAAAAACAAAAACATGGCGTTATATAAACTCAAATTCACAAGGAAGCGTCTTGCAATTGCACATAATTTCCTTCTATCGTATTGCTGTTTTAAACTTATTATCCATTTATTTATACTATACATTAAGATAAGCCTCCATTTATTTAATTGAGCCACAATTTTATAATGTCTAAAACACTCTCACACTTAGGAAAAAAAAATTAAAGAACTGTCATCACACTATGGAAAAATCCAAAAAATCTGACATGTCATTCATTCCATCGACAAATTAACTATGACACATTCTTTTATGTTTTCCTTGGCACTTTAACTATGATACTTTTTTACATTTTATGTTATGCATGCATCGCGGGAACGAAGACACTACTTGATTGATAGAGCAGCTCTAGGATTATTTTTTTCGTTCTACTCTCCTACCCTGGTTGAAAATTTGGCACATGTTACCGAAGGAATGAAATCGGTGAGCCTGTTTGAGGGTAAGGAAGTTCGCCCAAGAGATTTAATGAACTACAGAGATAGTAATAAGTTCAAAACACATACCCGAAGGGGGTCCATGTGCATTAACCCTAGGGCTAGAATTTATAGTCTTGGTTAGTATATAGTGACCGAGACAAGAGTGGGCCCCGGCTCCAGGCTTCATACTGAAGTGTTAAATGGTTGTGGGGTCCTTGGAGATGCTTGGTCAACGTTTGGGTTTGTTTGTCAATGAGAACTCAAAGACTTGTCTAGTTGTCGGTGTCCCTATGATCATTTGNGTCTTTTATCAATGGGGTAAAATTCTAGTCTGATTTTAAATGGCTAAATTATCAAATTGTTATTTCTTGTAACTTATCTTAATCAGTTAGGTCTTGTTTGGCAAAGAGTAAATAAAGAGAGATTAATGAGAAGGATTAATATAGTTAATTTATTCGATAATCTGAAGGATTAAATTATTAATCAGTTATATAAGTTTTATTTTAACCCTTTGGAGATGCTCTTAAAGGGTTACATAAACAAAATAAGGCCGTTGAAGAGAAATAGAAGGAATATGTATCACACGTGTAAACTCTGAAAAGGTACCGCATGAATATTCTAGGACTGTAGATTTTGAGGATTAGTACATGATATTTTAAAGAATTACAAAAAAGGCACATTCATTTAAAATGCTTTAAAACAAAGTTAAATAGGAGGTCCAACAGAAATCATCTACAACTTAGCGATACTTGCAAAATTCTGGCTCACGCATTTTGATAAGAAAGTATAATGCTTGTGCTCATCTTGTATGCCTCTCTGTATCAAGCTAAAATGTAAATATTTTTTGTATTTCGCTTTGCACTTTATAACATCACAGGTTAAGACAAGTATTTTCTCAGTAAATATAATTTAATCAATCGGAGCACTCTCATCTTTTTCTAAGCATTCCTAAAGAGTTGAAATCCACCAACCAAAAAAAAAGGAAG